TTTCTTTTTAAAGGCCCCCCAGAGACACCACATTCTCCATCGATCCATCCATCCATCCAGGAATTTTATTTAATAGCAATATGGAGTCCTCTGGATTGAAAACAACAGGAATATACATTTAATCTCCCCACATCACACGTGTTCCAGATTCACAGAATATTCTGCAAAACAGACTCAGGAGGCGTTTTCCGTGAAGTAAAATTAATACCTTTGAGGAGAGATTCCTCTGGAAGAAACTATACCAATCACAATGAAATTCATCTTCAGTGTTTTGAATTTTGTAAAAAATGATATTCTGTGCATCTTTATCTGCTAGCTAGTGAGCACATAAAGGCTTCTGAAAAGGTGCCAAACCTTCCAGAAATGGTGGGCGTGCAGCCGGGAGACGCGGCTGAACCCCGAAAGTCACAAAATCTGTAATTCTGCACATCTGGAGGAACCCAGAACGGCCCCTGAGCCAGATGGAGCCACTGCAGGACGGCGTAAAAATCCAGGGAGAAAGCGCTTTGGGGGCGTTTGGGCAGCGCATCCGGCGCCGTCTCCCCGAAATCGAAAGGCAGCCTGAAGCCCCCGAAGGAGGGACCCTCAAGAGGGTTTTTGATGCCTGGAGATGCCCCACGAGGCGAACTGGGAGACTGGAGGCATTTGCAGGGGATCTCGGGGGGCTTTCGGGGGCTGTGAAAAGTCACTAGATGGATTAGCGGAAGCGACGAAGCTCTATGGTAAATGATGTGGGAGTGGGAGTTAATATTAGGGAATATAAACTCTATTGAAAGATGTCATTTAATTCTGTGGCAAAGCATTATTTTTGGAAAACTCCCGAGAAAGGACACAACAACAAGCCAAACAGCCCTCGCTAATTCCCTTTTTCTGACTTTTGGAAATTGACCTTTTTTATCCTGAAATGCCCAACACCCCATTTCTGGGGACCAGGAGGCAAAGAGAGGGATGGAAATGGGCTCCTGGCCAGACAGAGGGACGGGGAGCCCCTTCAATCCCTGAATCTGTATTCAGGAAGGGGGAGACGTGGCTGGATTCTCCTCCCACCCCCGAATCCTCCCTGGGCCATTTTCTGGAGGGGATCAAGGGGATCCCTGATTCAGGGCGGGGGGAGAGTTGGGACGCTGGGAGGAAAAGAGGAATATTTCATAGATCTGACAGCGCAGAATAAATACAGAATAAATCTTTATAAGGGGGAACTCAATGGATTGAATGAAAAGGAGGGTCCCGGCATCTCCCCCCCGGAAGCCCCCCCAGACTCACCTCTCCGGCCAACCACAAGCCCCGCCTTGGCCACCTCATAGTTGTATCTGCAGAAGCGATCCACGGAGGCCCTCCGGGGCTGCAGGAGGTCCTGGCGGGTGTTCCAATAGTCGACCGAGTACTGCCCCAGCGGGGTGACGGCCACGAACGTCCCGACGTCGCTGTCGAACCGGAGATACTCCTGCCGGTCAAAGATGTACCTGAACAGGTAGCGCACCCGCTGCGTCCCGTTGAAGAAGTGGCAGTCGCATTTCTGCTGGTGCAAGAAATGGGCTGCGAGGAGGAGGAGGGGGAGGAGGAGGAAGGCCGTCAGGAAGGACTCCAGCACCCATCGCTCCCAGCTGCCAGCAGAGGAGGGACCCATGCGGGAAGGGGGAGTGGGAAGACCTGCTGCAGGAAACCTAGGGGTGG